CTGATCCTAGTTTAGTTAATTCACTTAAAAAAAAAAACGGATCGGAAAATTGTAAGGCCAAGAATAGACCTAATCCCTAATAGGGACTAATAAGGCATATGAAACATGGCGAACATGACGAGATGACATTCACGACTGATTGATTTATAATTAAATCGCATAGATTTAGCGAAGAGACTATCAATATTTTGTGTTGGCTTCAAATTGATCCTCTTCTTTGTTACCCACTTTGGAGGAATTTTTGCGTCTCCTAATTTGGTAATCATTGTCATTTGCTTTTTTATCACACGTTTTTTTGTTTTTTTTTTATCAGCTACGCTGGTCTTGGAATATGATCTGAAATAACACAAGTAAATCAGATAAGAAGGAAAGAAAATAAGGGAAGGAAAGAAAAGAAAGAAAGAAAGAAAGAAAGAAAGAAGTAGAAAATCAAAGAAAGAAAGAAAGAAAGAAAGAAGTAGAAAATCAAAGAAAGAAAGAAAGAAAGAAAAATAGAAAGATGTAGAAAATCAAAGAAAGAAAGAAAAATAGAAAGAAGTAGAAAATCACAGAAAGAAAGAAAGAAGTAGAAAATCAAAGGAAGAAAGAAAGACAGAAAGAAAGAAAGAAGTAGAAAATCAAAGAAAGAAAGAAAGACAGAAAGAAAGAAAGAAGTAGAAAATCAAAGGAAGAAAGAAAGACAGAAAGAAAGAAGTAGAAAATCAAAGACAGAAAGAAAGAAAGAAAGAAGTAAAAAATCAAAGAAAGAAAGAAAGAAAGAAGTAGAACGTCAAAGAAAGAAAGAAAGAAAGAAAGAAAGAATGAAAGAAAGAAAGAAAGAAGTAGAACATCAAAGAAAGAATGCTGAAAGGAAAAAGAAATCAGAAACAAAGAAATTAAAAGAAAAAGGGAAGAAAATCGTTTGATTAAAGAAATAAAGAAAATAAAAGAAAGAAAATAAAAGAAAGAAAAGTGCGCCTGAAAGAAAGAATGAAATATATAAAGAAAGAAGAAAGTGAGTTAACAGAAAAAAGAAAGAAACAAACAAACAAATACCAAATCAAAGAATGAATTCTGAAATGCTGGAAAAAAGGAATTAAACGGCAAGAAAGAAAAAAAAAGAAAAAATGCGAAAAATGAAGAAAAAAAAGGAAGAAAAATATACAAAGAAAGAACAAAGAGTGGGAAAAGAAGGAAGAAAGAATGAATAAAAGAGAGAAAGAAAAAAGAAAGCAAGAAAGAAAATATAACAGAAAGAAAATACCTAATCAAAGAATGGATATTGACATGCTAAAACGAAATAAAAGGAAACAAAAGGTTGGAAAGAAAAATAAAAGAAAGAAAAAGTGCAAATAAAAGAAATGAAGAAATATATAATGAAATAAGAAAGAAAGGTGACAGAAGAAAGAAAGAATGAAAGAAAGACTACAAGAAAGAAACGTACAAAGAAAAAAGCGAATAGTAAAAAAGAGGAGGCAAAAATAAAAGACCTAAAAGAGAAAGAGTAAAAGATATTAAAACAAGGAAATGAAAGAATAATGGCAGCTCAAGAAAAAGATTGAAAGAAGAGAAATGAAAAGCAATAATAAAAACCAATGCAATTAAAAGAAGCATGAGCTGAAAAGTCTTTAAAAATGAATGAAGGAAGAAATGAACTAGAAAATAAATCATAAAATTAGAATGAAAGAAAATGAAAAAGAAAAAGAAAGAACGACAAAAGAAAATATTAAGAAAAAAAATGGAATTCAGTTAATGAGAAAAAAGACAAAAAATTAGGCAATAAATAAAAATGAAAGAAAGAATGATCAATACAACAGAAAAGCAAATTAATTAAAATAATTAAACCGAAAAACATTAATAAGAAAAAAAAATTGAATGAATGAAAGAAAAGAAGACAGGGCGTAAAACATCAATATTGCAATTTCAAATACAGCAATTTCAAATACTGCAATTTCCCAAGTATAATACGCATTTTTTTCTAAAAATTAATAAGCAAAAGCAGGGGTTGTGTATTATACACAGCTACAAAACATCTTTAAAAAATTGCCGTCAAATAATATAAGAATTATCATAAAACTAAATTAGATTAATATTATTCAATGTTTAAAACCATTTTTAATAAGAGCAGAGTAGGACAAGCTGGCCGTAATAAAAATGGAGAGATACAATTTATAGTGAATGATTACCAAACAAGGGGTGCGTATTATGCATGACTAGAGGCATTTTCTCACACTTTCAGCACAATTTTAAGGGTGCGTATTATGGATGAAGGCGTATTATACATGTGGGAATATGGTAATATGTGATAGCGGGAGAGAAAGAATAATTAAAATTATAAATAAAACGGAAATGAAAGAAAGGAAGGGAGAGCCTTTCGAATCCAACTGAGAGATGTTTTAAAATATGAATAAAAAACGACCATGCAAAACAAATACTGAAAGAATGAGAATAAAGATTTGGAGAAAGAAAAAACAACAATTTCGCACCGAAAAAATCAAATAATTCTTTATTTCCCTTCCGTTTTCATTTCGCCGACATAATCGCTTGCTTATTATTTTTGTTTAGAAAGTTTCGCTTAGGTGAATTCGGTATAATTTAGTTAATTTAATAACATTAAGATAAAGTACATGAAATGATAGGCGTTTGAATTCAGTTTACTTCTCCTGTCTCGCAATGTAATCTCTTGCTGGAGGAAAATGGATTTATGCCTTATGAAAATAAAAAAGAAAGAAATATATTTTAAATGAAGGAGAGAGAGAGAGCTAATTATGTAAGAAATAGGACGGATACATGTTTAATGTAATGACATTGTTAATGAATTCATAAGCAGAAATGAAAATAGAAAAGGGATAAGGAACATTAGATAGATAGATAGTGAATGAGTGAGTGATGGAACATATATATATATATATATATATATATATATATATATATATATATAGATATGAATGAATTGTATGATATATATATATATATATATATATATATATATATATATATATATATATATATATATATAGTTTATGCAAATTTAGGTAATCCGTATGGGTAGACCTGAGGAGGATGATATCCAGAGAGCTCAATGTAAAATTCAGAGCAGATAAGTTTGAATAAAAGACAGACCACGTTAAGATTCCATGTAATAAGCTATTTCACCATAACCCCTTTAACAGGTTCTGGATCATCATACTTTACTTCCAAAAGCTGAAGTGAAAAAATGAAAAAGAAATTCACACGTTTTTTACGGACCTCATCAAGTATACGCAAAGTTAACGAAGTGAGGAAGTGAGGTGGGAGAGGATATGAGTGTGTCATATGTATCATTTTAGTTTCCTATTTTGACCCCAGTGTGTCGGCTAGATGTTGCTCAAATTTAACGCGTCTCGTCTCTAGATAAAGGTGGCTAAGGGGTGAACGATAAGAACTACATTAAAGGAAGACGTTACAACAACCCCAATAAATTACACGACAGGTTTCATTCAAATTCTTAGACGCCAGTTCGTGTTACTTTAACGTGCATATTTGGGAGGTTAAGGTTTGATAAATATCTAAATTTTAAAACAATCTATGAAAGGAATTAATTTGAAATTAATTTGAAATTCAAATTAATTCCTTCGTAGATTGTTTTAAAATTGATCTGTCTTTTATTCAAATATATATATATATATATATATATATATATATATATATAAAGAGGGAGACGAAAAACTACAGTTAGATTGAATAGATCAGGTTGAGATAGATAGATAGATAGATAGATAGATAGATAGATAGATGAATAGATAGATAGATAATAGCTGGCCACTTGTATTCGAGGATACCTGTCTACTAGGGCGGCTAGCCAATCCTTATTGCAGACACTCGTTCAAGATATTTGTGTTTTTTCAACTCCCACAGAGTCAAACTATGCTGACCAGAACTTAGTTACAGTTTCTGGAAGAAACAGTGTTATCTAGCATGATCAACAATTTGAACAAGGCCAGTACGCTCAAACTATCGGCCATGATGACTTGTGGCTTCGTGCTAGCACAACTATCGACTTCCCTCAAGAGTTCTGTCTACACAATTTTATTCACAACGCTTGGGACAAACCTTGGCATAGTTTTCAGTCACTTTCGAAATGTACTGTATACTGGGATCAACTTCGATCCTTTACGATAACATCAGGGAGTCTCCTTCCTGTCAAATCGACCATGGTGAGATTCAAATATATAGACAGATACATGCATACATACATGTAAGGAGCAAATAGATAGATAGCTAGCTAGCTAGCTAGCTAGCTAGATAGATAGATAGATAGATAGATAGATAGATAGATAGAAGGAGTGAACAGATAGATACCTTTTAAAATCAGGTCTATACTCTCTAGAATATTTCACCAAAAATTCACCCTTTCATATAAATATGCATGCCTAACTGGCAGATAGATAGATAAATAGATAGATAGATAGATAGATATGAAAAGCATATAATAGATATATATACGAAAAGTCTAAAATAGATATATAGATAAACAGATAGATATGAAAAGCCTACAATAGATAGATATGAAAATTCTAAAATAGATAGGCACATAGATACATCGATAGATATAAAAGGCCTACAATAGATAGATATGAAAAGTCTAAAATAGATAGATAGATAGATAGATAGATAGATAGATAGAAGGAGCGAACAGATAGATACCTTTTAAAATCACGCCAAAACTCTATAGAATATTTTCCCCAAATATTCACCCTTTCATATAAATATGTATGCCTAACTCGCAGATAGATAGATAGATAGATAGATAGATAGATAGATATGAAAAGCCTACAATAGATATATATGAAGAGACTAAAATAGATAGATAGATTGATATGAAAAGCCATCAATAAATAGATATAAAATGTGTGAAATAGATAGATAGAGAGATAGATAGATATGAAAAGCTTCAATAAATAGATATGAAAAGTCTAAAATACATAGATAGATTCATAGATAGATATGAAAAGCCTACAATAGATAGATATGAAATGTCTAAAATAGATAGATAGATAGATAGATAGATAGATAGATAGATAGATATGAAAAGCTTCAATAGATAGATATGAAAAGTCTGAAATAGATAGATACATAGATAGATACATAGATAGATATGAAAAGCCTACAATAGATAAATATGAAAAGTCTAAAATAGATAGATAGATAGATAGGTGTTTACGCACTGAGTCAAATAGATCTGAATAAACTAAGGTTTATAAATCGGTGCTTTGAAAAACCGTTATGCTACCAGCCCATTCATTATTTAGGTTAGATGGATTGAAAATCTGAGAAAGGACAAAAAATATGTGAGATAAATATTTACAGATAAATATATACGATGAAAAATTAAAGAGAGGATAAGGAGGAATGAAAAACATGAAAATTTGATGGAAGCAAAACACAGTCAAAAAAACAAAACAACAAAAAAAAAACGAAGGTTATAAAGTCAGCTGAAATAAGACCACAAAGCCAATAACTCCATAAAATAGTGAATAAAACCACGGTGGTAACTTGAAGGGAAAGGACAAAATTTGCAAAAAAAAAGCTGAAACAGATTTATGAAAAACATATCAATATCTGAAAAACAAATATATTTTTTTTTTATTTCTTCAGACAATAGTTTCCTTAATATAAGTTATTTACAAAAGCAATTAAAGGCTTTTCTAGTTGAATAATGTCAGAGTTTGGTTACATTTTTAGTTTACTATTCGGAGCTGATTTTCAGTTAAAATAGCCACCATTTGAAAAAAAAATGGATGATTTATATTCTCCAAGAAGTCCTACTTTTATCTCAAAACTCTAGCAAAAAAAAAAAAAAAGAAGGAATTTCGCGAAATTTTATGACGTTAAGTAAGTGTGGGGTAACATATGTAAAAAGAAAATATTTTACCAAAATTTTCTAAAAAAGAAACTTTCGAAAATAATTTCATTCATTTGCGAATATGTCCTGAAGGTTTCATTAAAATCCGACAATTATTTGATTTTTGCAAAAATTTCCAATTAATGTGTTTTCACCGGAGAAAAAAAGCTAAAAAAAAAAAGCAATTGTAATGATTACGTCTATCGATGACGTAAACAAAACAGTATTTTCATCAAAAATTTCGAATGTGCTAGAAAGGATGAAATATTTTTAAAAGTAGTCAGAAAATATTTTCGTCTTTCATCTTAACGGTAAATCTTTGATTTTATTAAGTTTGGGAACTTTTTCATCGTGCTATCTTGTTTTTTTCTGCAAAAAAGTGTCGCTACTTTTATATATCAGTTTCTGAAGAATAAATATTGAGAAAGTAATTATAGTAAGAAATAAATGAGATTAGGATATAAAACCGAAGAAAAAGCAAAGAAATACACGAAGAATAAAGAAATATAACGTAAATTACAAAGAAGAAATAATGAATATAACATATAATTGTTAATTATTGAGAAAAAGAAAAGAAGAAATAAATTCATTAAAGAAAAAAAATGGAACCGAGGTGTAAATGAGACAAAAGAAATAATAAGAACGAAAAAAAGAATCAATGAATATAACGAAAGAATGAAAGGAATATATATATATATATATATATATATATATATATATATATATATATCTGAAGAAATATACACTTAAGGTACGCTATATTTAGTGCTCAATATCAGAGATATAGCGAGTGTAAATATAAAAGTGAACATTGAAGTCAACACTTAGAGGTGGCAGGCTGTTTCATGCTAGATGCAATCGTCAGGCCTGATGACTGCGTCTGGCTTGAAACAGCCTGTCGCCTCTAAGTGTTGACTTCAATGTTCACTATATATATATATATATATATATATATATATATATATATATATAAAATATAAAAAGAAAGAACAGTAAGATATATAATCCGGTGTTCTTATAGATATTTTATTTTTTACAAAATAGTGCTCAATGTAAATTTACAGAGCATTAATATTAAAATTAATTGATTTAAAATATGGCATTTTTTTCGCTACACAGTTCTAACCATGTTTCAAAAAATGGAAGCTAAAGCTCTGAATTTAATTTTGTAATTAAATTAAAAAAAAATTAGTTCATTTCATCCTCAAGCGAATTTTGAGTAACTTTTCAAAAATTCGCTTGAGGATGAAAAACCAATTTTAATTTAATTACAAAATTAAATTCGGAGCTTAGCTTCCATTTTTGAAACATGGTTAGAACTAAAGCGAAAAAACATATTTTGAATCAATTTATAATATATATATATATATATATATATATATATATATATATATATAAAAAAAAATAGAACAAAAGAGTTAAACAAAAGAAGTTAAAATATAAACAGAATTAAACTTGAAAGAAAATATAATAAGAAAGAAAACCAATAAAGCAAAGAGGAAGAAAGAAATATATTCAAGAAAGGCAGAATCAAAGTATAATTAACTTAGACAACTGCGGTGGTATAGAGAATTAAAAAAAAACTTAATGAAAGAAGTCATGAGAAAGAAAAAGCAAGAAGAAAGAAAGAAATACATGAAGAAAAAATGGAACCAAAGTTTAAGTTAAACAAAAGAATTTGGTAAACAGAATGAAGAATATAATTGAAAAAGTAATAAGAGAGAAAGAAAGACAACAAGAAAAAAAGGAAGAAAGAAAGAAGTATATAAAGATAATTGAAGTGTAAATAAGTTAAACAAAAGAAGTTAAAAGGTTAACAAATGGAAAACGTTAACAAGAAATGAATTCAAAAAGGAAGAATGGAAAAAGGGAAAGAAATACAGAAAGAGAAATATCTAATGAAAGAATGAATTCTGAAATGCAATTCCTACAAAAAGTTAGACGGTAAAGCGAACGAAAAGTAAATGAAAACTGAAAGAAAATTGCAAAGACTAAATTGCACCGGAATATATAAATAAGAAAAGGAATTGAAACTTAAACGATAAAATGAATGAAAGAAATGTCTGAAAAACAATATGAAAAAAAAAGAAACAAAAGAAAGAAAAAGAAATATAGCAAACGCAAAATGGAGGCGGAAGTTTTAAAAAATAATAAATACAGCAAATTAAGCAACATTACATGAATGAATTAATAAAATAAACAGAAACAGTGTAATGAAAAAGAAAGAACGATTCTTTAATAATGGTATAGCGGAAACAAGCCAAGGAAACGAAAAACCTGTAGAGGAAATTCGAGTGTTGAATAAATTCATCAGTAAGTCAGTGCCACATTCACAAGTATCCTTCATTGAGAATCCTCTTTTTTTATCTACCAGTGCCATCCTTTATTTTTCGTATGTGTCTTTTTGTTATACACTGTGTTTCCACAAACATTTCCGCCATTTTGAATTTAAATCATACAAAGCCATTCTTGACAATAACTAGCTCCAACAATGAAGAATATCTCTGAACTAGCATATCGCATTATTGTTCACAAAATCTTACATGTCTAGCAAGGATCCCAATAGGGAAGCATTTCAAATCCCCAGTACAACAAGGAGGAAATGAGAGCTTCAGTCTACTTAAGCCGTTCTGATACTATACCGGCCTTATGACCATATCTCATTGAAACGTTCGTACAAGCAGTGAAGTTAAGCAACGTCGAGTCTCTTCAGTACCTACATGAGTGACCTCTTGTGATTACCAGGTGTTTTAAATTTGCATGTGTAGGTAGTTCCATGGAAAACGGCTCGGACTTGGAAATCGAAGAGAGGAGTTCCAATTTCAGTCGGGTTCTTCATATTCATTAACGCGCAAATCCCCTTGAAAAAAGTACGAATCGACATCCTGATCCTCTCCCCACAGCTTATGAGTTAATTAATTTGACTAGTCTCAGTAAATCATTATCATCTCCATGAAATCCTTACAAACTAAACATATTCTCTGCCTTTAAATAACCTGAACACGGTTGATAATCCGTAAAAAACAAATCGTTCCATCGCTCTATCAAACCTAGTTATGCCCAAGGGTATATGCGCGTATGTGGATGTAATGAAACTGACTGGAATTCGAACTCGGCTTTTTGATTTGTCATTCTCAACCGCTAGTCTTTACACCAACTGCATATCCCTACTCGTTTGGAGTGCAGAGTTTAGCGAAAGAAGCATGAAAAGTTGAGAAAATACGTAGACCTTTCCAGGAAAAATAAACGAACCAGCCTGAATGTCCCAAAGTCTAAAGTATTTTTTTTAAATTTATTTTATCTACTATTCTCTCAGTTGTGTGAACTGATCAACTTTAGTCCAATTTATTTGCATAGTTCATGGTGCATTACTTTTCATACCCAGTCAGGTCTGTTTCCATAGTCCTTTTTCTTTAGTTGGCTTCTTATAATCACATTATTATCTATTAAAAAACTTTTTTTTTTAGTTTGTTTTTTGGAGGGTGTTTATTTTTGTTTTTTGGGGGGTGTTTATTTTTGTTTTTTGGGGGTCTTTTTGTTTATTTTATTTTATTTTTAGCCATCATTATTCACATTATTATTGTTGTTGTTATATTAAGAACAGTTTTCCTCGCCGTCTGAAAACGTTCTTTAAATTTTAATTAAAATACGTTAGAGCAGGTGGTTCAAGTAGCTCATGACTTTTCCCTAAACTTTTTTTCCCCCAAAACAGTGTTGATAATTACATCAAACCATCTGATATTATGGCATTTTCGATATTCGATAAGGTAAAAGCACTTTAATCGCCAATAAGTGTTCGTAATCCATGGCAATTACTGACATCGCAAAACTGGAAAAGAAAAAATAATCTCTTACGGTAATTTCTTCAATGAATAAAAAAAAATGAACTCAATCATCTATAAAGGATGTAGTTGAAATATTTCTGGTCTAACCACAAATACATTTTTTGAAACAGACATTATTTTGGCCCCTAAATTAGAAATTTAATCTCAGGATTATTATTATTATTATTATTATTATTATTATTATTATTATTATTATTTAATTTCTTCCAGTATTTTTATCTTTTTTTTTTCGCTTTTGTTTAATTCTTATCCTTGTTAAAAAGGAACCCAATGGTAAACTGAATAGTTACATGAAATATAACGAGAAAGAAAAAATGGAAAATCTTAAGCATGTAAATTTTCTGCATTAATATTATTGAACAACATATCTACCATTTTCTTTCTCAACATTTTTTAGCTACAGCACACCTGGAAGGAAATGAAAACATCCCAATTAGCGAAATTTTTGAAGGGTATAGTTTTAAATGTTATGAACTAAAACCATAAATTTTGAATTAAACGAATGTCGAATACAATTATATGAAAAAATGAAAGAAATTTGTCATTTTCTGCATTAACATCATTGAACAAGACATCGACCATTTTATTCCATTATATTCTCTAACCCAAAGTTTCTCAACATTTTTAAGCTACAGCACACCTAGAAGCAAATGAAAATATCAAAGCACACGAAGCAAAATGATCGAATCAGAAGCGTAAATAAAATAAGGAATTTAGCTGCGAAAGGAATGAAAAAATAACTGAAAAATAAGAAGAAAGAACGAAATATGTAACAAAGCTGAAATGTAAGAAGAAAGAAAGGAATATATAGCAAAGTTGGAGGGAAATAGAATCTGATGTTTAAGTCAGAAAAGAAAGAGGAAACTAAACAGTAAACTGAATGAAAACTTACTAAAAAGGTATTCCTTTTTCATTCACCTTCTCATCTTTTCTTTCAACCAACATCATCTTTTTTAATCAATTCACCCCAAGCAAGGCAATAATGCTACTAAGTCGCAAGAGGGCAGCTGAAAATGAAAGCGATTAAGAAAACTTTAGAAGGAAGTACAAACCCGATCCTAAACAGGAAACAAGGCATGAACCTCTACGCCTGTACAAAAGACAAGGGAGGTATATGAACTGGACGATAAGCGAACAAATCTACACCTGTTCGAGGAAAAATAATTTATAACTTTTCAGAGTTTAGACGGAGACGTTAGAAGTATAGAGATATATAGATTTTAGAAGGAACTGGAAACCGAATTCTAAACAGGAAACAAGGGATAAACCTCTACTCCTGTTCAAAAACAAGGGAGGAGACATTAGATGGAATTTTACTAAACATTTCTAATAATTTGGCACGCTCAAATCATCATTTTTTCATATAATTGTATTCAAATATGGCACCAATTTGTTTACATTGCGCAGATCAGTACAAAAATGTCAGTGATTGTGCAGATCAGTGTTGCCAACAATGGGTGAAAATTTTGTGTGAATTGATTGGACGGTTTTTGAAATATTAGAAAAAATGTCATTACGATAATAATTTGGCACGCAGTGTAGAGTTAAAATAGACTTTAGAAGGAACCGGAAAACCCAGTGCTCAACTGGAGAAACTGGATAAACTTCTACACCTGTCCAACAATAGGGGAGGAGACGTTAGATGTATAGAGTCAAAGTAGACGTTACAATTAACCCAAAACCCAACTCTAAACAGGAAACAATGGATAAACCTGTACTCGTGTTAAAAAATCAGGAAAGATGACGTTAGATGTATAGAGTTAAAGTCCACTTTAGAAGCAACTGGAAAGCCAATCTTAAACAGGAAACAAAAGAAAAACCTCTACTCTTGTACAATAAAGGGAGGAGACGTTAGAAGTATAGATTTGATTAGCCTTTAGAAAAAACCGGAAACCCAATCCTATACAGGAAGCAATGGATAAACCTCTAATCCTCTTCAAAAATCGTGGAAGTGTGTCAACCATAAGATAAGCGAACTTATCTACTCCAAATATCATCATCTTCATTTTCTTTTTCATCCAATTATTACCTTCATCTTCCCTTTTTAAAACCTTGCTCTCCTTTCCCCGAAATTGTCGGTCTTTTTAAATTATACCTAAACTGGTTAAAGGTTATCAAGTGTGGAGCACTAAGTTCGGAACGAACATAGCGACAATGAAAGTTTATTCGGCTTGTTTTCTAAATATTGCTTGATGGCGAGATGACATTTTCTTTCCGAATCTTTTAAATTTTGTATTTCCAAAATCTTTTCTCATCTTTCGTTATTTTTTGCTTCGTCTGCGCATAAATATTTGACTCTTTAATTAATGTAGCCAGGGAAATTACGAGAAAAGCCGTTATTTCATTTAAGGAATATCTTTAAAAAAAAAATGAAAAAATAGCTATTTAATGAGGATGTATGTGTTAGCGTATCAAAAAACAGAATCAGCGACTACTATTGTAATTCCGATTGTAAATAACCACTTTCTTGTTATATCTTTAGGAGTCACAAAAGCTCACTCTCTCTGCTACATCATCAGGCATAGTTGAAAAAATATTCCTCTTCAATATGGTAAATTGCAATATGAGCACTGGTAAAAAACGATAGCTGAAGACGTTAGGTTTATAATACCCAGAAATTCACACACCCACATTCGATTTATTATGCTTTTTAATCCATAGCTGGTGGAAGAATAAATGGTTTCATGCCTTTTCTAAGATAACTTTGATGTGTGGGTGGTGTAATGGACAATGGCTCGGAATTATTATTCAATAAGCCGAGGTTTAATTTCAATTGTTTTCGTTATAATCAA